ACTTTCCCCCGGGAGCCTCCTGGAGGCGGCATCCCGGAGGCCGAACCGGCAGCGCCGGCCCCCGCGGCTCCGGCGCCAATGGACCTTGTGCCCGGGTGCAAGGCAGGGTGAAGCACAAGGCCTTGTCTTAACAAGTGAAGACTGTTTGCAAACTCTAATAGCATCACACATGTTAGATTATTTTCTTTAATAATATATATATATATATATTTAATATTTTTGGACCTGCTTATTTTAGATGCCAGACCAGTTTGATCAGACTGTGGTGCTCAACCAGCTGCGCTATTCCGGGATGCTGGAGACAGTGAGGATTCGAAGGGCTGGCTTCCCAGTCCGAAGGCCCTTTCAAGACTTTTATAAAAGGTAAATAGGCCGAGTTGTACGCATCATCATGGGTCATGGGCATCATTAGCTATGTTTCTCTATTGAGGAATAGATTGAAGACCTAATGAAACGGTAAAACTAGAGCGCTCTCTCTTACACAAAGTAAAACAAATATTTTTGATTGACAGATACAAAGTCCTCATGAGAAACTTAACTCTGCCTGAAGACTTGAATGAGAAATGTGCAGTCCTCCTTCGCCTGTATGACAACACAAGCACTGAATGGCAGCTTGGAAAAAATAAGGTAAAATAATCTGACTGCGTATTACGGCTGCTGCCTATACAATGCTATGGGACAGGATTGCATTTGCACAGAACCAGAGCTGTAGTGGTAATGGTAACTATCTTTCACCTTAGACAAAGCTGAGCACTCTTGCAGGTCTCCTTGAAACTGCATAGTAACAACTAGTAGTTCTGCTAAGGAATTTGCTGGCTAAGGCACTTAAACTTACTGGGAAGCTTATGCATAGAGGAAGAGTCCCCTTGAATTTTTTGTCACTGCTTACAAACATGAGGATCAGAGCTTAAAATGTGGTTGCTAGATCTTATCACTGTTAGAAGAATCTAGCACATAAAGTAATTACTCCATTCAGTCTAGATCCACTTGCATGCTATCTGCTCAGTGGATGAAATTTTGGAGAGTATTTGAATGACAGAATTGAGCTGTCCGTGGGTCAGCTTTGAGGCTTGTCTTCTGAGGTACATGTAACCTCAATATGTGCCCTACCATACATCTTTTCTATTTTATTCCAAGAAAAAATCAAATGATTTAGATTCTGGATAGTGCCTGAAACATTAGAGAAATATATTTGTAAGTGTCACAAATTATTTAAACAAACTCTCCTTGTCAGAACCTCAGCAGGAGTTGAAGCTCTGTTTATAACTTTCCCTAGCCAGGAATAATTGCACCCAGAAGCTGTGTGCATGTTTTTAAGAATGTTCTTAAATAGCTTATTTTAGAAGAGAGCAAGAGGGCATTGGTTTCAGACGGAAGAGAGTGCAGTGCACTGTCCTGCCCATGTCACTTGAAAGAGGGTGATGACAACATTGTGATGATTAGCCTTCAGTGTGAATTTTTCCTGTCCTTACATGTAGCTGCAATGCACCCATTCAGGAAAATGCAATAGTCTGTGCTCAGTACATGCTTGCACCCATCTTTGTTCAGGAAGTAGGAGAATGCCTTTCTGAATCTGAATTTCAGTATGTTTTTAAAGCCTGTCTGGGTAGCGCAAAGACAGATTGTGTAATGGGTGAAAAAGAAGGCTTCTTCCTTCACATCCTGTATTACATAAATTGAGTAAAGGCTACATATATGAAGGGCTGCATAGTGCAGCTTGGACACTGATGACTTCCTAGCCAATGAGACTTCACTATATGAGTATTAATGTTATGTGTTGCAGAATCTAATCTGTTTTTAGTTCTGTCAGAACTCAGGAGAGCTGCTGATTGGTCTACCTGATGATGGGCTTTTTCCTTGTCCACACTGAGCCTACCTCAGATCCTAGACAATCAAAGTATCATTGCACTAGATCTTTCCAGCTACTCTTGTCTCATGCAGCAGAACTTCGGGCTCTTGTCACCTATAGCTGGTGCCAGAGGATCCATCCTTTGAAAAGCAAATGTTGAGAAAGAGAAAAAGCACTGATTAAAAAGCAGATACCTCACCGCTTTGTAGGGGTACAAAACAGAACAGAAACAGATACATTGAACATTCTGTAGGGACCAATACCAATTCATCCCTTGCAGCCTTATGCTTACACCTACTTATGCCTTAGTTCTCAGGCTCAGAAGCCTGAACAAGCCAGGCTGCTCAGTCTTGCTAACGAGCCTGGCTTGGAGCATTGGTACCTTGTAGGAGAATTCCTCTGGTCTCTCTAGGTCTTTGTGCATGAATAATCGGCCATCACACCTAACCGAGGCACCCGTGCCCTTATAAACTTCTGTCAACTCTGGCGGGAAGGTGTTGCATCTGCTGGAGGAACTGCAGCTATTGCGTGTTGGAGAGTGGCCGCTGTTTCCCCAAGTGCTGGCGAAGCCCAGATCAGCGGTGGCCTTGGGGAGCAGCTCTTCTGCAAGGCTCTGCGCAGCTGTGAGGCCGCAGCAGCTGTCTCAGGGTGTAATGGCAGGAAGAGACAGTCCAGTCAATCTGAATATGAAACCACGCTCATTTCTGTTTGCATCTGCAGGTTTATGCCAATGGCATTTGAAGGAATGAGGGTTATGAAAGGTTGTGGAAGCTTGCTCCAAAGGAGGATTCCCAGGGGTGTTACTTCCTCCCCTCAGATGAGATTGTTCACCTTAAACCCTGCCGTTTTTTTAATCTCGGTTGCTCTTTGGTTAGAAAGTTTGGTTAATGAATCCAGTAATTATGTTGCTTTTGGAAAACCCCTGCTCCTAATTAAAATTTCTATTGCCATAATCCGGATTTTCCCACTGAAATCCAAAGTGAGAGGAACATGTGCATTTTCCTTCATGATGAGAACATTTTGCTTTTCCTTTTCTGTTAAGGAAATTATATATTTAATTCTGAATTTGAAGCTCAGGCTGTGCTCAGAATGACAATAACAACACCTTGGCTGTCCTTTACATATGACACTGCCACAAGTAATTAAGCTAAATGTTCTCTTGCATAGGTTTTTCTCCGAGAATCCTTGGAACACAAGTTGGAGAAGCAGCGAGAGGTGGAAGTCACCAAGGCAGCAATGATTATCCGAGCACACATCTTAGGTTATGCAGCCCGGTAAGTAACTTGCTGAGACTATTTAATAGTTAGGCTTCTGAATAAACTGGTGAGGTGGTAGGCAGCTAAGTCCTTTTGACACAAATCTTAATTTCTCGTAGAGACCAGACAACCAAATCTTGTAATTAGCTTTTGAAAATATCAACTCTAGTCTTTGCCAGTCCCATAACTAAAACAAAATGGAGTTTGAAATATTTTAATGTAATAAATAGGACAATATCAAAGATGGGAGGTCAATCAGTATTCGTGGCACCATGATATAACCATGATATTAGCTAACTGGTTTTATTTGTTTACCTGGCTTCATGCATTAGTTATTAGGTGGAGTTGCTCATCCCATCTGCTTATTGCTCTAGTTTTTCTGTAAATCGTTAGAGGGCAGTTTAAGGAAACTTGTTTGCATAATGAGATAATATCTTTTCACGTATATATTAGCCTTGTCTGCACATTCTGACCAGTATGTTACTCGAAAACAACAATTCCCTTTTTAATGACAGAGCTATCCTACTGTTTTTAAATTTTCTTTTCAGAGATGTGGGACAGATATTTGTATATTCTTCCTCCACATGCGTACACACAAGCTGTACCTTGTAGAGTCTTCTTGTCAGGGTATAAGAACACATAGGACTGGTATTTACACTTCCTTAATGAAGATAATTCTCTCACCAAAATGAGAAAGAAGTTCTATCCTCTTCTAACAAAGAGAATTTGAGCCAAAATGAGGAAAGTTTCACGGGGCTAGAAATAATAAAATGTTTCACCAGTATTGCAGGTCACCATGGCAGAACCTTTGGGACCATTCCATTAGATCCTTCTTTCCTTAGAAACTTGCTCTGTCTTTTTTTTTCAGAAAGCGGTATAGAAAGGTTCTTTACTGCGTGGTTGTGATTCAGAAGAATTACAGAGCATTTTGTGGTAGGAAAAGGTTCCTTTGCCTGAAGAAAGCAGCCATAATTCTTCAGAAGCAGCGACGAGGCCAGCTTGCTCGACGTGTCTACAGAGAACGGCTAGAGGAGAAGCGTCGAGAAGAGGAAGAAAGGAGAAAAGAGGAGGAAGAAAGGTAAGATGCACTCTTACATCACTCTTTCTTTACTTTCAGGGAAAGACTAAGGCAAGAAGCAGAGCGTCTTGCCCAGCAGGTAAATGATACTTAAATCTTTCTGCCATCCTGTTTATTTGAGTATCTCAGGCCAGCCATTAAAAAATGAGTAATTAAATAAAGGCATCTGTGGCATTTAAACTAAACTTATTACAGTAGTTGGCAGATAAAGGCCAAAGGAAACTTGATATAGTTGTTTGCATGGAAATTTCTTTCACCTCATGCTTCATTTAATTTCTGGCAGAGACTGAACTTTCTGCACGTACTTGAGTATTACAGTGTCTGTGTGTAAAAATAATCATACTTTCTCTTTTCTTCTTCCTTTCTATGTAGGGATAAGGGTCCTTTTAAATGAACAGCATGGTTAGGGTACAGTGTTTTAGTAACATCAAAATAAGAAATCTTGGGTTTTGTGGTTTTATTTTTCTTTCTTTCTTTCTGAATGTAGGCTGAAGAAGAGAGGAAGCAGCAGGAACTGGCTGGCATTCAGAAAGACCAGAAGGAGGCAGAGCCGAAGCAAGAGGT